TGACTTCTGAATTTTGAAAGAATATGAAGCTATCAGTATAAGGTGACTTCAGAATGTAATAGAATAGATTTATGTAGCTCTACTGAATATACTACAATATGTGAACAATTGAATGCATGGCTGGGTGGATTTGAGCTTCTCAAACACATGAAACCTGGAAATTTCAACTGGTTTTTACATGTAATGTTGTTTTATCACACAAAACATGTCCTCACTCAACAGAAACACAAAGCAAAGTCTCAGGAGACTAAAAGTGATGATGAAGACTTGGGTTTGGATGAACAACATGCAGAATCTAATGTCTCTGAATCTGATTGAAATAACTAAGTCCATGCATTAGTAAGTAACTAGTTGTATGCCTTATGCCCTTGTTTAGTCAAAGATTTAGTGCTACAATTCTATTTGTCTGACCTAAAGAAGGAGATTCAGGGTCCAAAATTAATTAACCAGAAGTTCTAGTGTTCAATTTCTGTTGATTCCAGTTGGATTCCTGTCGATTCCGGCCAGAATCCTGCGGAATTCCAGGAATCAGTGGAGGAATGGAAAGTATTGCCCCATCCCAACACGTCTCGTTAATGACCACCATGACAGGATGGGTGCTCACAATGATGAGTGCCTGTTGATGAACACCACACCACTACAACACAATGACAATGAGTGCTCATGATGTAGAGCGCCCACGCCATTGGCGAAGACAACAATGAGTGCGTACAACAATGATGAGTACATATGATGATGATGAGCACATACCACAATGACAAGCGCCCACATCAATGACAAGCGCCCACCCCGTTGATGAACACGACAACAAGATATCCCTTTTCCTCCCTCCTTCTTTGTCCATCCCCCTCCCTTTTCCCTCCCCCCTCCTTGTCAAAACCTCCTACCTTCTCCCTCCCCCTTCCCCCTTCCTTTTCTCTACCCCCTTTGTCCCTCCCCCTCCCTTTTCCCTCCCCCTTCCCTGTCCCTCCCCCTTCCCTGTCCCTCCTCTATTCCTTGTCTCTAGTGTTTGCAGGTCCAGTCTACAGGACTGAAAATATACATAGGACTGAACTGGACTGAACCACAGTCCGGTCTTTTTCCAGTTGCAGTTGCCCACATTTGTGGTCAGTCCAGTTGCCAGTTGCCATGTTTTTGTAAATATTAAAAACTGAAAAAGACCGGTTTAGACCGGTTGCAACTGGTCATTCATCCCATCATGTGTTGGATCTTACTCACACACATTTTTACTTAATTTTCGGTCCCTCAATCATCAAAAACAGTCAAGAATTGGTTGAGATATGGCCAAAAACATTTTTATATGCAATTTGAATGTATATCCTTTCCATTTTTTTCCATAGCTCAGTCAAATCTTCATGGAATTGCTTAAATTTTTAATCAGTCTACAGAGAATTAAAATATCTACAGTCATTCACTGGCCAATGAGACATCACGTGACCATGAGACAGTGAAACTTGTTTGGGTCCTCCTAAGATGACAAGGATACATTTTTCCTTGAACTAAGTTGCATTGGAAGTACAGGAGTAGTATAAATAAATTCATGTAAGAAATACATGAAATGAATGGCTAATAACTGTGAAATATGCAATTTTTTGCAAAAGGAATTGCTGATTTGTAGTGACATGAATTTCATTGATGGACTACCAATGGTTTTGAGGAGCTATTAAGGGGGCAATTCACATCCACATATTGCCTTAGTATTAAAAGATTCCGTCAGCCTCGAAACTATCCATTTTTCATTCAAATAGGCTATGTAAAACACAGAGACTGTGCAAGGGGTTGTAGATTAAAACATGTGTTGGATGCATGCACATCTCTCAACAGTTTTTATACTCAGTGTCATTTTTCTACTTCAGCATCCAAATCACATAGTGCTCCTTACCTTACCCATGCCTGGATGACCCAAATCTCTAGCTGAAAAGGCTGCAGTCATGCATCGGCAGCATGATGATCTCATGTCACATGCTCTCCAGGCTTATCTCACCAAATTGAAAAATCCAAACCATCGCACTCGTCGTGGGCTTCGCAAAATCTGTAGAGATTTTGAGAAACTATATTTCAATGAGACAGGTGTCAAGATCTCCCTTAGACATGCTACCTTGGCACATTTATCTGACGGTGGCCACACTCGTCTGGAGGCTCAGCAGCATCGCCGGTGGCTCACAAACATCGAGGAAGATGTTGTTGTTAATTTTCTTCTGGAGATGGGTCAGCTCGGTTGGCCTGAGAACCATCGCTGCATTAGAGAGCATGTCAATCTCATTGCTAATGCTCACCTTGGACTGAAATTTCCAAATGAGGGTGTTGGCAAGAATTGGACTGCCCGTTTTATGCAGAGGCATTCCGATCACATCAAAATGGTGGATTCTCGCCCTCTTGAAAGGCTGTGTGTGCAGGCCGCTAACCCCAACGCAAATGGCTGCTATTGGGATCTCCTTCATGACACAATTACCACATATAAAATTAAACCTGAGACAACTTTCGGGGCTGATGAAGCTGGATTCCAATCATGTGGTCAAGAGCGCGAGCGCGTCGCTGCTTCATGCACACAGAAAGGACCACAGTATCAGCAAAAGGCTGGTACCCGAGAAAATACCATGGTTATTGTTACCATCTGCGCAGATGGAACATCGACACCGCCTACCATTATTTTCAAGGGTTCTGCATACCAAGTGAGTTGGGGAGAGAATAATCCTCTCAATGCTTTGTGAGTTTTCCTCTTTTTTTCTTTCTTTCTGACCTGACATTTTCGTAGCATTGGATATCAAAAGAAAGGTTGGACGTGCAGCGAGATTGGCGTCAAATGGATCAAAATCTTTGATCAACAAACAAAGCACAAGGTCAGGCCAGGTGAATATCGCCTACTTCTGGTTGACAGACACAATTCTCACTACACCATTGCTTTTCTCATTTACGGACGCGAGAACTACATTATTGTTCTATGCTACATCCCACATGGCACCCATATCTATCAAGGCCCTGACGTGGTTATTTTCTCTCCACTCAAGAAATTGATTGGCAAGGAGTGTGACAAGTGGCTTCGAGAAAATGGGGCAGCCATGTATAAGAATAGCTTCCTCACCATGTATGGAAAAGCCCATGTTCGTGCACTCACCCCTGAAAATATCAAGGCCGCCTTCAAGAAGACTGGGGTGTGGCCATTCAACCCAAACGTCATAACAGCAGAAATGCACGCACCAAGCAAGGATACCTCATGTGTGGCACATGTTCCTCTTCCCCCTGACGACCCCGCAATTGATGTCCTTGTGACAATGTTACGAAAGCTTGCCAAGATTGATGAAGCGGAAGACGAACCCATCTCCAAAGCCCCGATCGCCAGTCCATCAAACACTAAACACAATGTGATCAATGAAGCGATCGAAGGGCTGTCACAAACCAAACTTGCTCACCTCATCTCAACCACATTGACGACATCCCATGATACAATGCCTACCACCATCACCCATACTATCTCCCACCCCCAACCATCTCCTCTTCTCTCCATTGAGCCGATGACTGAGACCGAGGTCTTGCTGCTTGCCGCACTTCAAGAGTCCCACAAAAGTAACGAATACCTCACAAACCGAAACATCGCCCTGCAGGCAGGGAATTTGCTGAATGAGGTGTATTGTGTGAAAGCGAAGGGTGCGCTTCAGTTCCAGGAGGAGAAGAAAAAGAAAAAGAAGCGGCAAGGGACTCTTCCAGATGGTTTACCATGTGTCTTGAAAGGGGATAGGTTCTATGAGGAACGGGTGAATTTTGAGAAGGAGCGTCAGGCAGAGGAAAGGGAAAAGGACAATAGAAAGGACTTACAAGCAGAGTGGAAAGCGGCAAAGGAGAAGTGGCAGCAGGCTGAGGATGCACGAAAGGAGCTGAAAGAACATGAGACTGCCAAGTACGAGGAAGCATTGGCAGTATGGAAAGCGGTGAATGAGGGGCAAGGGCGTGGGTGTGGGTGTGGGTGTGGTGGAGGTAATGCTGGACAAAAGCCAGTTATGGCCGCAATTCCGAAATGGGTACCTCCACCATTGTTGAAGGACTTTCTAACAGGCTGGACTGGAACAGGGCTTGCAGAGGAGGAGGAAGGGAACATTTCACAAGCGATGAAAGCAACAACAGCAACAGAAAAGGCTTATGTCTGATTATCAGATCAGGGTGATCTCAGATCTAATGTGGGTGTCTCATTCACCCATATATGTCCACTTTCCGTTCCTGACAGTGATTTCGGTGCAGTTGGCCCCAGTCTTGTTCGTTTCGGCCGAATTTTTCTCTCAACACTCACATTAACCTTGTCCACCATCTTGTACACATATATTTTGCAGAGGATATGTACCTAGACACACCTATCAATTTTTATTTTCAGTGTCTCATTAGCCGGTGAATGACTTTTTACAACAAAAGACCGGTCACAACTGGTCTGGACCGGTCTTTTTCGCATTGTGGACCGATTAGGACTGGTCTAAAGCGGTCCGGTTGCAGTCCCTTGATATCTGGATCGGTCTAGACTGGTTGCGGTTGCCAGTTGCGTCGTTTTGACGTTGGGAACTGTTTCTCACACTCTTTGGGCCACTGGAGTTAGTGGCTAGCTTAGTGTTGTCATTGTTCATGATGATATAATGTAAAACAGCAAAGACTACAGACATTTGTAGTCCAAAAAGCGGACACTACAAACATTTGTAATGAAAAAAGCGCACACTACAGGCCTTTGTAATGAAAAAGGCAAAGACTACAAACATTTGTAGTCAAAAAAGCGCACACTACAAGCCTTTGTAATGAAAAAGGCAAAGACTACAAATATTTGTAGTCTAAAAAGCGCACACTACATGCATTTGTAGTCCAAAAAGCGGACACTACAAACTTTAGTAATGAAAAAAGCGGACACTACAAACCAAACTGATATTATGTAATGACTTTCCAAATTGGGAAATATGCGAACATTGTCATAAACAATAACAACACTAAGCTATCCACTAACTCCAGTGGCCCAAAGAGCATGGGAAACAGTTCCTGACCTAAATGTGCACTGTGCCTGACATTAGGTGTGGCAGAAAAAAGTGTAATGCTTTTCCCAATTTGGAAATAGTGCAGACATCATCATGAACAATGACAACACCAAGCTAACCACTAACTCCAGTGGCCCAAAGAGCATGGGAAATAGTTCCTGACCTAAATGTGCAGTTTGCCTGACATTAGGTATGGCAGAAAAAAGTGTAACACTTTTGCCAATTAGGAAATAGTGCAGACATCGTCATGAACAATGACAACACTAAGCTAGCCACTAACTCCAGTGGCCCAAAGAGTGTGGGAAACAGTTCCCAACCTAACTGCACACTGTGCCTGACATTAGGTGTGGCAGAAAAAAGTGTGATGCTTTTCCCAATTAGGAAATAGTGCACACATCAAAGTGGACACTACAAAATTTTAGCCTCACTTCAGTCAAAGCTATTGGTAAATATATGTAAACAAACTTCGAAATGAGGGTTTTCTGCCTTCCTCTGCCTAAATAAAAATAGATTATGGTTCCTGATACCATGGTATGGTATGAGGATGCATGGTATGGTATGAGGGTGCAATACCATGGTATGGGATGGGATGGGATTGCAATACTGTTACAGACTCTTTTTCATTATACAAACTGCGCAGACACTTACATACTCCTAAGATGCATATAGATTATACTGGACAGTTCTAGATACACATCCCAGTCAGATTTCTTTTATGACTTAGATAGACTCATATGACTCCTTTAGAGTCATACGACTCTCATAGACTAGATACGACTCATATGACTCTACACAAGTCATATGAACTCATACCTCTGACTCGTATCTGACTCATACCCTTAGTATATAAGTAGGGTACTTTTCATTTGTATTCGGTAGCTTGAACCTAGGCAATCTAAGCTTAGTTCCTCCTCATCAGACCCTCAGAAACTAAGATCGCCCTCAAACTCTATAGTCTTTCGACTTAGAGCCTCTTTTGAACACTTGACGATAAGTCTTCAATGTTGNAGACTTAATACACATTTACTAACAGAGTCAGCGTATCATAGAACCTTGGACTGACCTTCGAGCACAAGGCTACTAGAACCTACTGTGTCGCTTTAAGGGCTGCGAACATTGTAGTCACCCACTTTGTCTCAACAACGAGAACTGTGGTAGACAAACAATCGATCGAACTCGAAAAGCTTAACATAACTGCCTGTTACGTTTAACAACCGTAACAAAAGGTTCAAGCTTATCCCAGAACAGAAGGCGCATCACTGCCCTCTACCCAAATTAGCCACACTGGACAACATAACAAAGGTTATACGTCTTACCGAAGAATATAACACCAGAATCAAAGACATTATAAGTCTCATCAGAGAATATAACGAAAGAATCAAGGACATCATCATATTGATAGAAGGCGCATCAAACTCGCCTCCTACCTAAAAGAAATCACAGCTGCTCGAAGAGAGTCAGACTGTTGGACACTATGAGCACCAGCAGAAAGCTCAGACTCAGAACCCGAACCAAGAACCGACACCTTCACATCCGGTGAAGAACAGTATGAAAGCGCAGATGAGGGTAGCAGTCCCCCTGCATCACAGACACCAGTAACAGGAACATCGACACCTGTATCAACAACAGAGAGATATAGACGAATAACAGGGTTAGGACCATTACCGTCACCCTTTAGCAGACGAACCACACCCAGAGGATCACCAGCGATCACCAGAACACCCAGCAGAAGCGTACAGCCGCTATTAGGATCAATCATCCCGACGTCGACATTTACACTGATAGATTTAGCTAGTTTAGGTATCACACCTACCGATGAAAGAACCAAAGCAGTTGAACAGTTCAATACATTCGCGATAAACCCATACCCTGGGTCACCAGCAGTAACTGGAACTCCCAGACAGACAGACACACTGATAGAACCCGAGAACCCAACAGAACCAAGACAAGAAATGGCCGAAGTAGCCAACACCAAAGGTGACTGATGCCGTGCACCTAAAGATTTTGATGGAAACGAAGACAAGTACAAGACTTGGCTTAGAACGATACAGACCTATATGGAGGTCAACAATCACTTGTTCAGTACCAACAAGCGAAAGATCCAGTTCACCTTCAGTTTCATGATCACAGGCAGAGCTGCCGACTGGGCAGAACACTTTAGAGACACCCACACAAATACCAATGGAGTATTCACCACAGCATCAATGTGGAAAGACTTTGTCAACTTATTAAACGAAACATTTGACATCAGAAAGACGAAAGACAAAGCAAGAGTAGACCTCTCAATCCTTAAACATAACCCCACTAGTGGTATACACTCTTATGATAAAAACCAGACACATGCCTGGAAGGCGATGTGTATAATGCCTAGAGGTTCAATGAGACAACTCATTATGTTGTCTAGTATTTTCATTCATTAAGTTCCCTGTGTATTTCATTTGGTATTTTCATTAAATGGCCTAAGTGATCTCATTAATATTGTATTGCGATTTCCTGCAATATTTCATTCATTATCTCTGGATATCTCATTTTGCTATTCATATGAAAGCCTGGCACTTTCAATGAATATTTCATTTTTAGCACCAGCTGACCTTTCAGGGTCCAGGGTGCATTTCCAAATGTAAAATAGCGATAAAATCAGGAAAAATTAGGGCTCATTGCTGATCATCATGTTGGGTAACATTGTCAGGGTCCAGGGTCCAGTTCCAAATATGGTAATATATCCAAAAATAGCCAGAAAATAGCGGAAAATTTGAATATATATAAAAATGGTGTACAGAACATCAGGCACTGCCTTCAGGGTCCACTTCAAGTTCCATCCCAAAAGTGGAATATCACCTGATTTGACCAAAAAGTGAAGAAAACCAAGCAGAGAATGATTTTACCTATCAGGGTCCATGTAATGGGATGTTGGGATGATGGTCACATGACCAATTACCAAAAATGGTCAAAAACAAAAGTTGTAGCCCTACACTGTAGCTTCCTGAATCTGTTTGAATTATGTTCTGAAGTGCTCCCGTTGTGGATATATGAGGTAAAGGAATCCCAAAAGTGTTGTGTT